GGTACGGAACCATTTAATTGTTTATCAACATAACAATTTAAGATTAATAATGAGGTACGGAACCGTTAAATTGTTTATCAACAGAACAGTTTAAGATTAATAATGAGGTACGGAACCGTTAAATTGTTTATCAACAGAACAGTTTAAGATTAATAATGAGGTACGGAACCGTTAAATTGTTTATCAACAGAATTATTAATCTTAAACTGTGAGGTACGGAACCGTTAAATTGTTTATCAACAAAATAGTTTAAGATTAATAATAAGGTATGGAACCGTTAAATTGTTTATCAACAGAACAGTTTAAGATTAATAATAAGGTATGGAACCGTTAAATTGTTTATCAACAGAACAGTTTAAGATTAATAATGAGGTATGGAACCGTTAAATTGTTTATCAACAGAACAGTTTAAGATTAATAATAAGGTATGGAACCGTTAAACTGTTTATGAACTACCAAATTATTTTGAGGAAGTCTATATGTAACCAGTGTTAGATCTTTTTTTTTTTTCAACATGATATATTTATTTATCAAGAAGCATCAAACATGCTATGTCTTCGGGTGGTTTTCTGTCTTCTTCACTTACAAACATACACATATATAACTGGATAATATAGTTTGAAACGAATGTTAATATATTGACTCTGGTTACAAAACCTTAGTCACAGAATCGCAGCGCTATTTAGAATCTCATAAGGAAGAAAATAAAATCTATTTGTGCAACATAATAGTTGTTAACTTATTGTTACGACAGCGGAAGTCACGTGACGTTGGGAGCATGCGCGCTGGAGTTTCTCGAAGGATCATGAATTTGCCCGGCAACTCTAGTCTGATCGAGATGCCCTCTTTTTTAATATATAAGCCTGGCGAGAAAAACCAGGATTGAAGGCAGATAGATAATTGAGTCAAGCGAAAAGTTGTTAAGTGTATTACAAAGTTTGTATCGAGAAAGAATAAACTAGTTTTAATCATGAAAGGACTTGTATCGCTGAAGTTTCTGGGAAATAATTTATACCGGAAATTAACAAACGAGCAGATACTTAACAATATTATAACCTCGTGTAACTCCTAGGCAACGGTTTAGTTCAACAACTAGAGCATGATCTAATTTGTTAAGTAGTCCCAAAAACTTTCAGGACTATATTCGTCCAGGTAGTGAATTTGAAGCGGATAATTACTACTTTTAATCCAATTTAATCTCTAATTACTGAGCAAGTATTATTAACATTCTAAAGCCTAGGAGTATTCTTATGACACATTCGCTCGAGCTATTGTTATGAAAAATAAATAAAAATGGGAACCTTACCTTTAAAAACCTATCCTTTCCAGTAAGGAGAAAAAACAAACATCGCTTTTACGATATTTTTATATACTTTTATAAACTAACTCCATTTTCCTATTGTTACTAAATTATTTATTTCCCAGTGTTAATAATTAAAAAAGCTGTAGTCATGGTAATTCAAAATAAGTAACATTTAAATAAAAGGTTCAAATACTTCAAAGGTGTGATCAGTGACTTGTGAAAACAGTAAAACTAGCATGTACAGTTTTTATATCTCCCATTAAATAGGCATGAATTCAAATAGAATTCAGTGACTCGTAAAACTCGGATCGCGAAATCTGAAACATAATAAACCGATATGTTATAGTGATGGCAGTGACATTTAAAACAGCGTGTTCTTGCAAGCAAGTATACTATGACAGCAACACAGCAGAGATGGTACAGCCAATCAAGGAACGTATTAGGCCTCTACGTCACAGATTCTTTTTCCAATTTCACCTCTGGTGGAAAAAAATAAAGAAAGAAACCTTCAACACGTATATACAGTCATTAAACAGTTGGTCCGCTGTATACTACTGAATAATGAATTCGGTGAAATGTCATAACATTATTCGCGTACCTAAATTAATTTAGGTTACTACACGATGAAGTAAAAGGGATTCAAAACCTCATAGATAAAGTGTAGTATCACTCTATATATAAGTATCTTAAGATATATGTACATTGTAGATTAAGTGTTGCGTTTTTTATCCTTATAGTAACGTTTACTGTGCAGAAGAGTTGTTGCCATGGTGATGATACGATATTGAGTTGTCTATCAATTGTTGTGTTCAAACTGTTAGACACATCTGACAGCCATTACAGACTTTAAAAATAAATCTCGATACCAGTGTTAAAATGGAGATCAAATTTAAGTAACTATATTTTAATATGTATATTTTTTATCTTAAAATTCTAAAATCAAAATTGGTTTCATATACGATGGTTTGTGGAAACGTGTCACGCACTTAACCACGCTGAGGCATAGAAAGGCACATGAACCCGGTAACTTCTGTAGTTATGACGTGTCGCGTAGCAACTTAATATACAGCATTGTTTATTGTAAAAGATGTGCTTTTTTAAAGATTATTTGTTTTCGTGCAGAGCTACACAGTATATAAGCACTCTTTCCGCCGCAGATATTAAACACAGAATTTTGGCGTTATAAGTCCTTAAGAACAAATTGTTTCGAAAACAAAACTTACAAATATATTATAGAAATCAATAAGTGCACGTATTATTTGAATAGAAGCTGGCTTAAAACGGTGAACGTAATTAAAACTAAAGTACGCGAAACTTAACTTTTTCTTCTTTTTTTTTCAAATCCCTTTGTCATTGTAATCTCACAGATAAGGTATTTTTTATTGCAGTTAGATACTGGTCACATTCAATTGTGTTATATTACACTAAAAAAAATCAATTGGCGAGGAACATTATTCAATAATTTCTGCTTTTTTTCCACAGCGCTTAATTTCTAGAAACAAAAAAAAAAACCCCACTGGATCACTGGATGGATGGATGGAGGATTTTGAAGTTTAGAATATAACAATTTAAACGTTATCGGGGTTATTACCTGGGTTGGGATAAGAGGTGAGTAATGTTTTTAATAAGTTTATCAAAAGTCAATTCGTAATACAACCTACGAATATTAAAATTAATTATAGTGTTTCCACTTTTAGATTGAATACATATCGAAAACAGATTCCGGATCTCAGAACCGGCTAAAATTAAGCACTGATTTTCCATTTTCAAATGTGAAGTTGTAAAGTCAATGTTAAGGTTTTACCGTTCAATAAAAACTTCAAAGAAAATTGATAGTCTTAAAATCTGATTAGAACTCGCATATACAAATCAAGGCCTAACGAAGCGCATAAAATTACACGATGTTTCGAACTATATTCTATTCGAAGTTCTCAAATAAATATATGTGATACTGGCATTACGCTAATATTTTGCTCTACCGTGGGAGAGCATGCACCTTCTTGCGCAGATTTAAAGAAATTGTCTAATAATAAATTTCAGTAAATTCGACAGACCGTGAAGTATTATAGCCTGTACGTACATGCCTAAAATATTAAAGGTGGGTGATGTAGAACTATCAGCATTAGTTAAAAATTAAAACAAAATACAGCTACAGAACGAAAAAAAAGAGTGGTTATCCATTATATAAATTTTGTTTATTACTATAAATATTACCTATTTTACAGATAATAACACTAAACTGTTCTAAGTTAAATACAACTTACTTCCAAAATAAAGGAATATTCTTCCGTTAAGCGCTCGTTCTCCCTACTAAGTTCATCATTGTTTTCCAATAAAGCTTTCCCTAACTGAGCAGCAAGAATTATATCATTTTCTTTTTGCGTTAGCTGCGAGTGCACATCATGATTTTCGCCGTTGAATTTCGTACTCCTACTTTCTGAATTTCTCAAATAGTCTTCTAAGTTGCCGTTGAGATTATTGTAGTTAGATGTTTGCTGCATTTCTTGTAGTCGACAAGCGCACATTCTCCGTTTCAATTATTTAGGCTTAAGCCCAGAAAAAGCCGACGTATTTAGGCCTATGATGATTACTTATATCAGGAAATGTCGACGTACACTGTTAAGTTACTAGTTTAACACACGATTGAATTCACGCTTGAATTAGGCCTTGTATAACACGGCGCTAGTTAGTAATACAGAATGGTAAGGTAACTACAATATCAAGGATAAAAAAATGTATGTATGTTACAAATAAATTTAAGGTAGGTAAATATTATTTACTCTCAAACCGAGTCAAAGACACGCACTTGCTGAATGGTGTTTATCCTTTGCCATAATTTACCACAACTTCTCACCAGTTAACATCTCTACTGACTATCTGTTACCAAGCGATCCCGTAGATCTAATACAGTCGCACTTGAGCATGAAACTCGTATGGAATTCTGGGTAACTTGCTTTCTTGGAAACTTTGTTGAAATGTACTGAGCGCCAGGTATTACGTTATAAAATCGACTTGTTTTATTATTTAGTATTACGGCTGCAGTTATAACAGTATGCACAAATGACAAGCTTAAATATTTTTGTTGTAAAACTGATTTTTAATCACACCACTTCTTACAACGTTTATTAAAATAAGTATATGATTATGTTATTTAAAGGTTTGAGTAATCAGTGAAACTGTGTAAAAAATGTCACATTCATGTTAATTTCAACACCACAGCCAGATATGACAGCTTGTAAATTTAGATTGCTGTATTAAAAATAGAAAAAAAAAAAAGAATAGAAAAGAAAACAAACAGCATTAACCAAGAAGTCAAACGTGGAAAAAGGCCTATAAAGTATAATGTATGAACTTATTAGTAATTCAACAAGTCAGGAAAACATTCAAATATTAGTGGAAAAGTATAAGAATGACGGAAGAATCCTCTCAATATCTTAGAATTCTTCAGGAATCTGACTCCCTCCTCCTTTGACGTGGCATAATGGTTAGCATGCCGGATTGTGGATTTGAGGAGACATGGTTAGCGTCTTATTGCTGCAAAGATAAATAAATAAAATCGAGCTTCTCATCTTGGGATCATGGGTACGTTGTAAGAGGGATGTTCGAATCCCATTTTTCTATTAGAGTAGCCCAAGATTCGGTTATAGGTGATGTTGACTAGCTGCCTTCTGTATTGTCTATGAGTTAAAAATTATGGACGGCTAGCGTAGATAGCCTTGCAAAAAAACAAACAAATTAAAATACTGTTACGTCTCTGTTTGTTAATTAACTTTCCGTAACTTTGTTCCGACAAAACTTAAGCGACACAAGTGCTTTCT